TCACTCCATATCCAACATTAATGCAATCACTCAAAAAATTTTCACCAGAAAGCATTCGCGCTATTGCTCGAAACCCAAATATAGACTTACAATCAATAGGAATCTATTCAAAATCAGATATTCAACATCACATTAGAACACAACAATTCCAAGAATTATTAACACAAATGGACACTATACAAAGACAATCAATAGACCAAAATTTACGCAAACTTGCAGAAACCGCAGGATTTGCCGATATCTACACGCAAGACTATAGCGGATATTTTAAAGACATTAAAGATTATATATATCTAAACGGTGAAAAATACCGTCCCCAAGATATATCACCAATTAACATTTTTAGCTTTGTTACACTCAAAAATGAGATCCTCGATTTTCTAGGATGGCCCTACTACATCTTAGAAAAATTGACTATTTTATACGCAATGTTTAACTTTATTGGATTTCTTTTCTCACTTTTAAAAGGAATCTACAACACATGTGCTATACACACACAAGTAAACAGACAAGCAAGCGTAGCACGCATACTCTTTGCAGGATTTTTTGGAATCTTTTCTACATCTATAAACAAAATTCTTTTAGACGCACAAATAAAAGAATATAACACAAAAATAGCAACACGACAAAATACATACGACGAAGAACATAACAATGTAGACATAACGCCAACGGCACCACAATTACCACCCCTACCAAATAACCATCCACTATCCCTAGTCCCACGAAATTTTCGAAATTTAGCCATCACACATAATCCAAATTTTCGACTCACCACATCACAAAGTCCCATCCAACATATAATGACACACCAGTCACAAGATGATAATACTTATGAACAAATTATTGAACAACCCCATACCACCGCTTTTCAGTCTCAAAATAATCATTTTTTAGCCCACGATGAGCCGCCAACTTGGATCACTACACCGATCAAATTCCCACCCAACCAATCTTACCTCTCCAATCCCAATAATACCACTTTTTGCTTTTCCGCCACCCGATTTTCCATCTAGTAATGTAACATCAGGCATGAATTCCGACACTAATTCACACATCTCAGTTTTATATTCCATCTCACAACTCAATAACCCGAATATTGAAACCCCCGATGAATTTGCCGACTCAGAACCATCCCCATCCAATAATTTTCATAACTCTTCTAATTTTTCTCAACCCCCTTTTCAACCCATATTATCCAATAACCCTGACCCAATCACTTCCACACCCTCTGATGCTTCCCAAGTTACCCCAACCTACTCCTCATTTCATTCTGACCAATCATCTCATTCTCCAGACACCCCCCGAACCTCCCCAGAGCTAGATAATTTTATTACCCTTCAACAACAACCCTACCACCTCCATACCCCAACAATAAACCAAATCTCCTCCACAATAAATTCATCCAACCCCCCTACCCCTACACCCTCTTCAAATTATACTGAATCATTAGCACCATCATCCACATCAACTGAATCTTCACTCAACACTAATAGAGCTTACCGCACTTTTAAAAGAAAGTTCCCCAACCAATCTTTCCCAGCAAAACCAGGAACAGCCCGTGAATACATCAACCATCCCAAGCATACTAACACAAAAGAATTTTTAGCCATCACCTTACCCTCATTCCCACAATACACCTTAAACACCCCCCACGACACTAACGAAACACGCAACTTTGTAGATGAATACGTTTTAATGCCCACTCTCTCTTGGACCTCATATTATCATTTTACTAACCCTCTTTGCTTACCTTTATCTAACACTCACACCGATATAGAGCGAAATACGGACATGCTATATCGACTCACTACACCACTAACCGCTAGACAATTTACTTACGTTGGATATAAAAAATCACTAAAAACACACACTGCACCTAGAGCTAACGAATATACACTCGAATACTATGATCACAACATCATCAGAGCTAACCAAGATCAATTCTTAGACGACGATCGCTTCGCTAATCCACAAATTACTGAGAAATTTTTCATCAAGACACCATATATATTTACACTAAACATCTTCGACCGAAAGTTTGATCACATTATTTCAGAAGCACTAACAGACACACAAGCATACGAAAGTTTTAAAGAACGCTTCCAAATATTTTCACTAACCTTTCATTTCCTTGCACCACACGAAAGAGATTTACACTGCTCACACGATATTATGTTGCGCACTAAACAAACCCACACATATAGTTATTATCGCTTCATCCAAAATCACTTTGACCTACACACACCCTCTAGACAACCACACCATCGTTTTCAATTCATTAATTCCAAATACACTTCACCATTTTTCCTAAATTTCACATATTGCATTAAAGATACTAACCTTCATGGTATTCTTCGCAATTATGATCCCATAACCCAAATGTACATCTTCTGTCCCATCACCAAGACCTTCAACGCCGATGAATCCCGACCCTTCCTTATCCCGCACGAGTTTGTACAACCTATAGAAATCCCAATTTTAGAATTCATCCACAACACTAAATTCAATCACAAATTATATAATCTAATCCAAAACACACCTTATGAGTTTGCAGTTGGCACTGAAGAACTAACCACTATTAAGGCACTTCAATTGCTTTGGCCACTGCTTCAGACTAAAAATATCATCCGCATCTTAGCTAAACTACTAACAAATTCCGATCTCATCCACGACATCTTCCCCCACGGTTTTTTCCCCGACGACTAACAGGTAAGTATGAATTAAATGAATATTACTAACTAATTAAAATATTAAAAAACTCACCATACTTTATCCATGTTTTCTTTAGATTTTTAGCCTTCATCCGACAATCACCTACAAAAACCACAAAAGACAAATAAAAATCGCAAATTTCATCAAACAGATTTCAAAAATTCTATTAATCTCTTACACTTATAAATTTATAAATTTAATACCAATGCAATAAATTCATTTCTAAAATTTTCCCCACAAGCAGTAAATCTAATTATGATGAAAATTTGTAACTTAAAATTCCCCCATAACTAGCAGTAAATTTCCAAATTCTATGCAGTAAATTAATAAAATGCAAATGCAGTACTAACCTTTTGATATTCTCATTCATTCGCACAGAAATTCTATCCACACTCGCACAGCTCGCCCACGAAGAATTGTTTAAAATAATGAATTTCAGTTTCAAGTTTTCACACTCAACAACTCTAACATATAATAACATGTTTCAAACCTTCCTTTAACCCGGTTGGAAAGGAATCATATACTAAACAAAACTAACCAACGCAGCTTACTAAATACCACAAATCATAGAATAACAGCATGACTAAGAAAAGGAAACCAACGGTACCCAAACCGGATTAACCCAGTTTAAAACTGGATAATTTATTCTTTTGAAGACTATTATAAAGTCTAAGAAAGAAATAATAAAACACAAAAAAGTCGAAAGACAAACCCATACCACGAACAATTTGCTTTTTGGAAAAAGGACATAACCAACAAGACATAAGAAAAACCACAACAAACCCAACATAAAACGTTGTCACATAACAGGACCCCTCATAAAAACCGCATGAAATCATACTCCCACTCCTGGCCTAACCCACCAGGAAGGACGTCCTGAGCATGCTCTATAGCCGGCCTAACCCACCGCGCTACATCCACGCTTTGTGACCACACCTCTATTTTTAATAAGAGCTACTCAAGGGTGAGTAACTCTTCAAAATAACCGAACTAAAACAAAAAGCTTTTGTGAAAACAACTAACTAAAATCATAATTAAAAAATATTAAACTAATAAATGTTTTATAAAATGTAAATTACATTATGCAATACATAGATCAGAATACAACACCAAGGACGAACATCTAAAGACAAAACGACCCCACTACACTCGAGAGAGAATGATCAACCACAATCGATATGCCACTCACAATCACAACTCAAAGGATTTAGAGTACGACTTGACTTCGCAGAAAAGGACTTCATTGAACTAGACCAATGACCACCTCGATGTTCAAGTATACGTACAGATCCGAGTAACCAGGCATCCCCTCCACGCACAATCTCCACGCCATTCCCAAACTAGATCAGACACAAAAGAAGTTCTCCACGCAGAACAGAAAAACCTGACATAGCCAACCATTCTGAAATCAGATTTGAGTTTGTTGCAAAGACTTAGTCGTTGTCACTAGACGACACAACGTCTTATGTCTCTAACTCCAGCTTCCTGGAACTTCTTTAACAAAGAGGAAACGGAAGAAAATGATGTTCGCCAAAAACCAACGTCCATCATCCATCCTTCAAATTGCAGAAGAACTATTCTAAAAAACTCTGTAAAACCCGGATGGGTGGAACCTGATCTAAACTACATTTTATGATTGGATAAATTAGATATTTTACCAATGTAAAGTATTTAATATTAACCAATCATGATCCATCTAACTAACAACCCACTTATTTGTAAGTGCTGAAGTTACTTGTAATTTCAGCACCAGAGAGATTTGAATTTAACTTAGAAATTAGTTGGACTCTCCCGAGCACTTCAGCAGCCGCAATAAACCAGTATACCCTAGATCTATTGAGCCTAGCAGAGACTAGTTAAACAACCTGAGACTAGATAGTATAAGAGTAAGATTAGGATCGGTATTAGACTAAGAAGTTGCACGAATCTATCCGGCCGAAAATAAGATAGCGTGACGAGCAGACGGTGTACCCTATCCGAAATTACTCTATGAGTTATACACTCCAGTCCTAACTCAATACTTTGGCCTTCCAGGCCGAACATAAATATGTATATAATCTATATAAATAATCGGAGTTCTATATCTGGACGGATATCCGTGGTTTTGTTATAAGACAGTGGTCATGTTAACACCGATTGGTTCTTGATAGAAAAAGCATTGTGTTTCACTTATTCATTGAACTCCCCGGCTTGAGAAAGATTTCTTGAATTAAAATCCTGTCGAAAAAGCGTAGACATTAAAGACTTATTTGGAATTCGGAAAAATTTGTTAAATTTGATCTTACCATTTTCGTCGAATTTCTCCATGAGCTCGTCCACATCTGATTGGCTGGGGTTAAGTTGACATACCTGTGAAAACAAATGAGTTCAAACTGACGTGAAAAAAACAATTCAACAGATCCATTTGATCATAAACTACCTCAACAAAACCTCTGGTATGGTGAATGTACAAAATATGTCACAAATGTTATATTGATTTTCTTTTTAGTTTTTTTAGGTGATTTTTGATCCGATCAACGTTCTTGTTGAATAGGGTTATGGTTCCAATAAGATACATCCATTACTGGAGCTACTGGAATGACATTTCTTGCCGGTGACCTGAACTTGTGAAAGAAAATTCCATCTACAACGTCTTTGAGCGGATCGAAAATAACCTTTAATCCTCCGTGGTTCGAGCTGCAATTGATAATTCCGATTTTTTTCCGAGTCACCGATTAAAAATATTTGCAAAAATTTTTCCGACTATTTTAGTTTTTATGCTTGTTTTTTAGCCGCTGATTTTGAAAACAGAGTGAAACGGGGAAAGGCTGGAGAGAGTTGGCAGTGTTGGTGGGGGGGCTGGATATTTGGTTATGCTTAAATTAAAACTCAATCCGAAACCTTCCTTAAGATTTGAGCCTTTGGTTTTTTGTTTTGAAAATTACAACTTTGGGCGGAATAAGTAAAGAGACCCACAAAACCTTCAAACCCCACCCCTGCTATCCATCTAAGTACACTCAGACACAGACACACACCTGCATCAGTTTTTTCAGCTCCTCACTGTCAATGCAGCCACTCTTGTTCACGTCGAATGTCTCGAAACTCCGCCTCCACCGGTCTGCAAACTCATCCGATGATCCCATTTGTCCCGCCGGCGCCAATACTTATGTATTAACTAAAAAACAGCTAATAGTAAGCAAATTTGAGTAAAACTTGTTTTCTCTTCAAGCTGAATTGCTTTGTGATATTATTAGTAATAGTTTGCACGTTTTAATCAAAGAACGAAGACTTCATAGAGCATACATACACCACAACGAAAACAGTTTTTGTCACTAATTTGAGCATATTTAAGATTTGAAAAAGTTCTATCAAAGCTTTGCAGCAGTTGCTTTTTTAAAATTTGATTTTTTTGCCCTTGAATGTTACACGAAAATTTTCTCAAACATTAGCTCATCGATATTTTAACAAAGAATAGCCGCTTCTTAAAGAAAATCAGACTCAAAAACATCCCAGATTCAAGAAATGTTCATTACGAGGCCAAACTGTGCACTGGATTAGGGCAGCGTTTGGTGGGTGTTTGTTCATTGGAATCCAAATACAAGTCTTTAAACATGTTCCAAAATGTAAAGGAATTCCACATACAAAATTTTGTTGGATTCCGCGCAAAAACAACTTGTAAGGTACATTTTGTTGGCAATTTTTAAGCAGATATAGCAAATATAAAAATATTCCGCTCATTTTAACGTATGAAGGAAGGATTTAAGTCAACTCAGCAAACTGTAAGCGGATTCCACAAATTTTAGTCTATAAATCAATGAACACATATTTTCACGACTATAATTTTCTTGATGCATGAAAGAGTAGGACTAGCTTTTTTATCAAAACTATGAAACTAAACGACTAGTGTTTTTTCTTTGAGTGAAAATTAAATTAATTTACTTTGGCTCTATGATTTTTTGTGCAATGTTTTAAGAAAAAAAATGAAACTATATTACTATCTTTTTTTGATCAGGAACTAGATTTGAACAAAATTTTTTAATTTTGTGAAGATATCAACTCCTCGGGCTTACTGCACAAAAACAATGCTACTCATTCATTTTCATAAATGGAAAAGAATGAGTGGCATTGTTTTTGTGCAGTAAGACCAAAGAGTTGATATCTTCACAAAGTTATAAGAATTTTTTACAAATCTAGTTTTTGATCAACAAAATTGATCTGAACCAAAAACCAACCGAAGTATAAGATTTATCTACCTTCAGTAAAAATCGAAACATTCAGACAATTAGTTTGCTTTGTTGTTTCTTTTTAAACTAAACCTATTCGTAATACCGATTTTTCCAGACCAAAAAAGCACAATTGAAATTTGTAAAACAATTTAGTTAACAAATTGTAAATGCATCTATGAAAAAAAAAAACTGAAATAGTTTGCCAAAGAAAGTAACGCCGAGAAGCGTGGACTAAATATTTGGTCGTTTTTTAAAGTTTTTTTAAAAAAAATTCTTTGAATCATTTTTTACAACAAGACTGCTTGTATCAAGGTGAAGTCCTGAAAGTTCCGACTGCATTTTAAAATATATGGAGTAGTGTTCTTTTTTTTAGAAAAGAGGTGAAATTAACCCATGTTGTTTTTCGAAATGTTGTGTATTTTTCCACACAAAGTATGAAAAGTACAAAATGATATTTTTTGCTTACGGCGAAGCAAAAAATAGACCAAATGGGGACCATAGTTTTAGCATGCAGATAAAAATAACTTAAAAAAACTTTCAAAATGATGTTCAATTACATAATTTCCCATCAATTTTCTTGATAATAATACTATCCACAACGTTTTGGCTCTTGATCTCATTATTGTTTATCAGAATTTTGAATGTCAATGAGCACAATAAAAGAATTGACTTAACTTTTATCGTTCCGACTTACAAAAAAGTGACGGATTGTTTGTGCTCTTTATTTGTGGTGGTTTCCTAATGTGGTTTCTTTTCTCCAGACAAATTCGGCTTTATAACTAGCCATTTTTGACCAAATTTTTTCTGTATAACTCAATGAGTATTAATGTTTTAAGAGCAAGTTCAGAAAGTTTTTTTTTTACCTGTGATCATTTTTTGGGAGGTTATGGGGGTTTACAGATTGCTAAATAGGCCAATTTGGGATAAATTTTGCGCAATGATTTTCGTAGTTTTATCTCATACGCCGTTTTTATCCGTTCTAGAAATTGTTAATATTGAACTGAGGCATGTTTTTTAGTCTACTTAATACTTAGCTACGTGTGAAAGTATCATTTTTTCTTTTCATTGAGTGTTGGAGATGACTTATAAAAAAACTTTAAAAAAACGTTATTTTTAATCAATTTTTCACTATACTTTAGACCTTATCAGACAGTCTCAACATTCAAGATAAGTTCATTCTTGTTCAATTTTTTTGTTTAAAAAAATTGAAAAAGAAAAAGAGTTATACATCTGCTTCTAAGTGTTCATGCCTAAATGTTCATCCAGATCTTCCAGAACCACGCTATGTGAATTTCAAATTTTCCAGAAATTCAAATTTAGATACAAAAAGAACAAAACTGCTCGTACTAGGGCGAGGCGCTGAGTGATCTGACTGCAGATCTTTGGAGCAGTAATAAAATGAAAAAATTTAATGGAAAGTCATCCCCCACGCGCCATGTAAAGTACAAAGTGATAGATTTCGCTCCTAGTAACAAATCAATTATGGCAAATAAGCTTCCTTGAACCAATTTCGAACGATTTCTAAGACGGATTAAATCTCCGCTCACGCGAAAGATCGCGAAATTAACAAGGACCCGGTAAACCAACAGGACAAAATGATAAATGGAGGTTCGGAAACTCACTTTAAAATTCAGGTTTAAAAGTCAAGTCGTTTTTTTGTTCACTCAGCGTTGAAATATATATCAAAGAAGTGTGCTTGAGACAAAAAAAACTGGACAACTGGACATTATAAATTTCATAGCTGTGGTTAGCTCTCAATCGAACCTACTAAGTTCCGCCATTTTTCAAAACAAAAACTGAAAAACTCTCATAAATTACTATCTAGTTTACAAAACATTTCCTACTCTCAAGAAAAAGTTTTCGCAATGCAACTTTGAAGTTTTGGTTAGATTTAATGAGCACATAGTCTGCTTTTGACTTTTTGGGTCGAACAATGTCCGTTTTCGACTCTGCTCATCTGTAGAGAAAACTGTTAGTTTTTTTTGGGTTCTTTCAACTTTATCAGTCTTCGTTAGAACAAGGTTCAAACTTCCCGGAGGTTGCTAGACATTGGTTGATTTAATCCGGGTTTGTTTAAATCATTATCTCTACAATTCCGCTCATGATTCGACCCTGTGTGTTTAATGATTCGATCACAATATATATCCAAGAAATTATTTTACTCAGATAATTTTGCAGATCTATACAATTACTTCAGAGCATTGGAATACAAAACACTTTGCTCTCAGTTAATGGCTTCCAACTTTGAAAATTATAAGGGTAATATAAACATAGAGTGGTGTTACGATAACGAGAATCGATGCTGAGAAACTAAAAAAAACTCGTACCATTGGAGCCAAAAATGCATTGAAACTACCAACGCTTGCCACATTAGTGAATTAGGCATAATCGTCACCAAATGCCTTCAAGCGTTGAATAACAAACAAGATATAGGAAAAAAAGATTTCGAACAAAAAAATTCTTAAATTCTTTTCAATTTTTTTCTTACTAAAATCTAAGTTCATTAGTCTACATGACAATTTTTATAGAATGGACGTTATTCGATTATTTTACTCGCTCGAATACAGAAGAGAAACTTTAAAAAATGTCAGCTGGTTTTTCCCAACACAGAGACATTTTTTTTGAAAAAATTCTAGGAATCGTTTCAATCAAGAACGAAGGGGCTTGAATACTATATATCAAACAATCCATTGCCAGACATAAATTGATCCCTGATAAGTCGTGGGAATAATATCGTAGGTAAATTTCATACTCATTTTCAATAGTCGATACAATTACTTTGATTAAATTCTTAAGAGAGAAGAGAGAATTTTTTTTGATTTGAGAAAGTAAAGGCAGAACATTATTGATTCCACCAAAGCAATTGGGAATCTTACTTGACTAAAAACTTGATTTTGAATAAATTTGGTTTTCAAAGTGTAATCACAATGAGTGGCGTAATTAATTGCACTAAAAAACTGTTTGGATCTTGTTAACTTTTTCCGCTTTTGGACCTTGTTAACTACTCCCCCCATGCATATAATAATTTTGACTACCATTTACGTATAAAATATGCATTTTGTCATACTGCTACTGCAATAGCAGTAATTGATTATGTATGTACTACCAACCTGCGGTGCTTACTTATTAATTTCATGGTATACTCAAGGTCACAGTGTGTTGTGACATTGAGACTTAGTTGAGAGGTCAGAGTTTTTCAGTGTTGATCTATCTCTCAGTAACCAAATAAAAGAAAAGAGAAAACAAAGTTCAATATAACAGAATACATTATTGAATTACAATTAGTTTTCACTCGATACCGCATCGGATATCACATGGCGCAGCCAGCAGGAGTCGCAGCTCAAGACAATAGAACGGATATGGGAATACCCGTATTTTGGGCGTCAGCGAATTTAGATCCTCCGTGGCAATTAAAATCTGGTTTGAACAATTTCTTATGGCAGTAACTGTTAAAGAAAATGTAAACCCAGAGATTATATTGGAAGAACCAAAAGACATATTAGAGGAGCCACCTCCTCGACCAGAAACACCACGAGATGGAGAGAATGAAGATGCGAGGAATGCGAGGATTCTTAGAGACAAGCTAGCATTGGATAGAGTATTGTTGGAGAACGAAGAGAGAAGGACAAGAGGCCCACGAGTTGGACACAATGTTTTCTATAACGAAGTACAAAAAAAACTGGTGTCCAGATTATTTTTGTCTCTGGGTACAGAGGGGAAGAAACGATTCCTACAAAAGAACCCGCATGCAGAAATATCGAAAAGGTCGTTCAGGGAAATTACAGAACTTGCAGAAGTTTCGTTTCAAAAAGTGAAATGTGTAACGTATAAAAGATATAAACTTTTTACGCGAATGCAAAAATCCGGGGAATCTCTCGAGGCATTTCACACAGCGCTAACTGCGCAAGCAGCTCGGTCTGAACTGGGAGCATTGGAAAAAGAGATAGTCGGTGACTTATTCATTTCGAAAATGAAAAACATGACATTGCAGGACACATTGACTTTCGAGACTCTAGATCCGGAAGAGGTTCTGAAAAGAGCGATAAAATTCGAACACAGCAAGTTAACCAC